AGCTGGTTAAGCGACTGCCTTCGGCTCAGGTGATTCTGGAGTCCTGGCATCGAGTCCCGCATCGGGCTCCCTGCTGAGTGGGGAGTCTGCTTCTCCCTCTGACCCTCCCCCCTCTCATGCTCTCTCTCTCTCTCTCTTTCATTCTCTCTCTCAAATAAATAAATAAAATTTTAAAAAAAAGAATTTAAGAAAGACTACCCAAGTGTCCTCCTGTCCACCCCATCTGCCACTGTCCCAGCTCAGGCCCACAACTCTCTCACTATGACAGTTGTGACAGCCTCCTAATTGACCAATCGGCCCCTGTCCTCTCCGCTCCACCCGCCATGGTACACCTTACCACGCCACTCTCCTAGCTTTTAGCCCGCCCCCTATGGCTCCCAGGGCCCTGAGAATAAACACCAAGCCATTTAGGACGGTCTGAGTGGTCTTACACAATGTGGCCCCTGCCTATTTCTCCAGCAATATCCTTGCCACCCCCCGCCCCCAGTCTAGCATGTGTCGAGCCTACTATGTGGCAGCCACCACGGTGGACACAGCCGACAGGGAGACCAATCCCCCCCAGGGCCTGTCCTCACCGTGTATCGGTCCAGGGCAGGGGAGAGCAGGTGAACTCGCAGATCCTGTTCATCTGGAGCCAGCGAGATGTGAGCGCTCCCGGAGGATAGGGGCTGGAGCTGAGATGTACAGGTTGGGCAGGAGTTATCCAGGGGGAGCAGGGAAGACCTGCAGTGGTGGGGTAGCCTCTCTGAGAGGCCCGGGAAGTTGTGGCTCTGATTTGCGGCCCCAGGAAAGGCACGTGTGAAGAGGGATGGAGGGCAGGGAGCAAAGGGCTGCACGTGAACAGGTGGACTGAGCAGGAGGCCCAGGAGAGGAGTCCGGGGTGGTTCAGGGAGCTGGACCGTGGGGTTGCAGTGCCGACTGGACACTGTCCCATCACCACGGGGTTCTCCTGGCAGGCAGGCCCTCCCCCCCCTTACTTCATCTGTCGAACTCCTCCTCCCCCTGCAAGCCCAAATCACAGATGGTGCCTCCAACTTGAAGCCTTCTGGATTCCTCCCTGCTGGAATGACTGGCTCGGTCCAGTCCCCTACCAGTTTGGCGGGAACATCATCATCTGCTTTCATTGCAGGGGTCTGCTGTTACCCCCACACCCCGACCATGAATTTCCTGTGGGCAGGGAGGTGTCTTTTACCCTCGGTCTGCTCACAAACTAAATCAGAGCGCCTCCAGCAGATGTAACCCCGACCGACGGACCTCGAGGCCTCAGGGAGCGGAAACGGCCTGCGTCCGGGTCTGCTCCCCTGCTCGCCTAGGTGCGCACGCTCTGCCACCGCGGGGCCTGGCGGCGGGGTCAGGGGCAGGGGCGGGTCTCGGCCAGGCCGCATTTGCCTCCCCTCGGTGCGCACGCGCCCGGGCCGGTGGCAGCTGCCTCCTCCCGCCCGCGCGCTGCAGTCGCCCACGCGCGCCCCTGCCACCCGCTGGCCTCCCCTCGCGCCGCACCCCCTCTGCCCTTCCTGGGGCCGAGGCTGGGAGGTTCCACTGGGGGAGGGGCGGGACTGGCTGAGCACTGCACGGAGGTGCGGGGTCAGGGGGCGCTCCCTGGTGAGAGGGATCCCCCCCCGGAACCCCTCCCCCGGGTACCCTTGTACTAAATACAGCAGCCAGTGAGGCCCCCTGCCTCGCCACCCCAGTAGCCTCCCTGCTTCCGTCCCTGCCCCTTCAGTCTCTTCCCCCCTCAGCAGCCAAGAAAGACTTTTGAACCGTAAACCACATCATGTCTCTCCTCGCTCTGATCAAATTAGCCTTAGAAAAAAACCAGCTGGGCAAAATACATGGCCTCTTCCTTCCCTCCTGACCTCACCTCCTATTCTTCCCCCTCCCACTCACTCCTCTCCCGCTGAGCCACGGGCGCGGGGGGGGGGGGGGGGGGCGGAGGCTGCGGGTTCCGAGGGAGGTAAGGGGGGGGGGGGGGGGTCTTCTTCCGGTTCCTCACACAAGCCCGTGCCTCAGGGCACTTGCCCTTGCTATTCCCTCTGCCATGATGCCCTTTCCGCGACACCCCCATGGCTCCCTCCCTCACTTCCTCCCATCCCTGCTTACACGTTATCTCCTTAGAGCTGCCTTCCCACCCCATGGCTCTGTCTAAAATAGCATCCTGTTACCCAGCTTCATCTTTCATCACAGTACTTGTCACTCCCTGATGTATTACTGTTTATTGTCTATCCTTCTAGCAATATAATAAAATGCTAAAAAAAATAAAAATAAAGTTCTGTACATCTTGTTCTCTGCTCTATTCCCCAGTGCCTAGAATAAGAACGGGATGTAGTAGTAGATGCTTGATAAGTATTTGTTTGATGCCAAATAGCACTTCATTCAGCCCACATGAGAAGCCCCATGAGTTGCCCATTTCACGGATGTGGAAATTGAGATTCAGAGAGGTATGGGATCTGTCTGTGGTCACATGAGCTTGTTAGCGTTGGAGGTGGGGCTCCAACCCAATGAGTCTCTGCCCTCTGCCTCTCTGTTCTCCATTTCACTGCCCACCTGGAAAAGAATACAGGTGTTTTCACCCTTCCCTTGTCCCGGGATAGGAAAGACTGACAACTAGTGACTCTATACCTGGCCCAAGGCAGCATGTTCCTCAAAGGTCCTGCCGAGGAGCGTGCAGGGAAAGAGACCCCACCGGCTCCCCCGGTGGGCACACCCAGCTTTCACCCTGACCCCTTTTCCTTGGGACCATCTGCCGCCCACCCCCAGCCATTCCCCTTCCACTTCCTTTCAGCCAACTCTAGGTCCCAAAATGCCTGCAGAATAATCTGGGGGCTGCTTTTCTTACCTCTATCCCACCAGAGATACAGTGAGAAAGAGACAAAGACACAGGAAGAGAAGCATGGTGAGGGGTGGGGCAGCACGAAACGGAGACACACACATGCAGGGACAACACGGAAAGGCAGAAGATGGGAGAGACAAGAAACCCAGAAAGGAGCCGAGTCCTGGAAGTAATGGAAGCCGAGAAAGGAGCCGAGTTCCGGAAGTAACGGCTCCCCTCAAACCCGCAGGCCGGCCCAGGGCCACTGCCAACCCAACTGGCCCTTTGGAGTGAATTAGAGAAAGGCACCCTGGCTGGGTTCCAGAGCCCTCTGGCCTTTGAGCCAAGCACACTGGTGCAGGGCCCAACCCAAGGGCAGCGACTGGCAGCCCTCCCCCGCTGTGTGCGCCCGGAGGAGGAGGGCCACTTTCAACGCCACCTGGTCCTCAGGTCTGACCCACAGATGCACCAACAGTGGTCCCTGGAAGCCTCTGGGAAATGCCTGGCTCTCTCCCTGAGGGCTGTGAGCCTGAGCCCAGCCCTCTGCACTCATGCATTGGGTCTTCCCCCACAGTAGGTCCTTGGGCCGTGTCACCCCTGCCTTCATCACCCATGAGTGTCAAACCGGGCCCATGCACAGAAACCCGCCGAGGACTCCAAGAGGCTGGGACGAGGCCCTCATGCCTGCACCAGTGCGCAGACCCCCTTCCTGCTCTTCCTGCTCCCACAGGCTACGTCCCGGCCTCCCAGACCTTCTTCTCTGTGGTTTATAGGCAATGCTGGGGGCATGGAGGGGGCAGGGAGGGACAAAGAGGTGGCATGACCCTCACTCTACAGAAAGAGAGAAGCAAAGAGGGGAGTGATCACCTCAGAGTCTCCGGTCTGAAATCCAGGGTCCTGCCCCCTCCCTCCCCAGCAGCCACACCCCACCCTCCTGGGGGCTGAGGATGAGGTGCTCCTTCCGCAGTGGCCACCTGGCTCACACAGGTAGCCAAGGAGCCTGAGCTGCCAGTGGGGGCCCAGCCTACCCCAAGCCAATGTGGGACTGCCTGTGCACTCCACTGGCTGGCCCCACTCAGAGGGCAATGGGGGAGGGCAGAAGCTCTGTCCTGCAGTGTTCTGGGCCCTGGGATTTCCCACTCAAGCCTGGGCATGGCCTGGCACAAGGTCATAGGCTTATTAGGATGCGGGAGAGAGAGCAGGTATCCTCTCCACGGGGTCCATGGGCAGTGCTACATCTGTGCTGGGGGAGATCAAAGGGCCCAGGTGGAACCAGGGAACCCCCACAGGCCACTATCTGAGGCCCCCACCGTTCCCAACAGCCAACACTGTGGGAGGAAACAATCAGGGCACAGGTGAGTCACAGTGTCACAAGGCTGCTTCCTGGCTGACTCAGGGGACAGTCAGATGGCCCTTCCACCAGCCCCTAGCCCAGAGCCTGAGTCAAGGATTCCAGGCAAACAACACCTCCTGGTGTCCAAACTGGGCCTGGCCTGCCCTCCCACTGGATCCCCGAAAAGTCAGGTATGAGGGTGCCCCCTTCCGTACAGGCATGGCATTGTGCTCCCCCAGCCTCAAGCCTAACCTTGCTTCTGGGATTTAGAGTTGGGTCTTCTAGATGTCTGGACCGCCCTCTGACCAGGATCCCCCAAGGCAGCTGGCATGGAGCAGTGCACAGAGGGCCTGTGACCAAGGGCAGCAGGATGGGGCCCTGCCCCTGTCCCTGTAGCGGGGGCCCTCCTGCATCACCCCCCAGGGACCCTTTACCTGCCCACAGCCCAGCCTTCCAAGCAGGTCCCCGTGGCCCCAAGGCCGCTTTCCTGGCTTTGTCCCTGTGCTGGCTGGGCAGGGACTTCCTGCTGGAGAATTCCCGGATCCTCCCCACGAGGTCTCGAGCCTGGCCTGGGAACTTAGGAGGGAGGGAAGTCAGGGATGCTCCTTCTAACGGGGTCTGGTCTTGTGGTAGCAGGGGCTTTCCTGGCACTCTGACCGCAGCCCTTCCCACCCCCAGGTCAGGTGCACCAAACCTCTCGTCCTCCAGCTCAGATGCCCCGCTGTGGCCCCTCTACTGGAACTCGGGCTCTGCCATTGGGGCTGCCACTCTGGGGGCTAGACTGAAGGCCCTGGATAAACTGAGCTTGCTCCTAGCCTGAGGCCGAGGGGTGGGGTCCAGAGAGAGCCAAGGAGGCCGAAGTCAAAGTGGGCTTTATTAATAACAGCACAGGCCTGAGTCTGATGAGTGGGGACATTCTGCTGGGCAGGCCCATCCTGCAGACACATGGATACCATTGATCTCAAGACCCCTTGGGCCCAGGGGTGCCTTGGATGTGCCCTCCTGAGAGGGAGGCTAAATTCTACTCGGGCTGAAGGGATGCGGGAGCAGGGCAGACTCAGGGCCAGCACCAGCTTCACTCTGGAGGCCAGTTCCCCATCTCATCCATCTCCTCCAGGAGCAAGTGCTGAGGGCAGAAATGGGTGAAGAAAGAGGCCTCAGCACCTTTGGGCTCTCCCTTCCTGCTCTGTACCCCTAGAAGCGTCCCACCTACCCCACAGAGATAAGCACCCTGAGGCCATTCCAGACCCTCCCCCATGTCCCCACAGCCGGCCTAGTCCACCAACCCTGAGCCACCTCCCTCCTGCTAAATGAGGGACCCTTCTCCCTCCAACTTGGTCGGGGGGCGGTCCAGGTAAAGGGTCCCTGGGGGGTGATGCAGGAGGGCCCCCGCTACAGGGACAGGGGCAGGGCCCCATCCTGCTGCCCTTGGTCACAGGCCCTCTGTGCACTGCTCCATGCCAGGTGCCTCGGGGGATCCTGGTCAGAGGGCGGTCCAGACATCTAGAAGACCCAACTCTAAATCCCAGAAGCAAGGTTAGGCTTGAGTCGGGGGGAGCACAATGCCAAGCCCCAGGAGTCAGGCACCCAAGCCAAACCCTCCCCTCCCTCACCTCTGTCCTGGACACCATATCAAGGGGGCTCTGCACCCTTCCCTCCAGCCTAGGGTGGTGCTTCAGCTGCCTCAGCGCCCCTCCCCTAGGTCCCCAGCATTCCCCAAAGGCTGGGGGGGCGGCTTCCTTCCCCCTCAGCTTGGTGTCCCTGAGGGCAGATAAGGAGAAAGTAGGGGGTGGTGATGAGGATAGGACCCTCGAAACACCCACAGCAGGAAGATATTCCCGAGGCAGCTCTGTCCCCCACGTGAGGCCTGAGCTGGGCCCCGACCTGCCACTACCCAGAAACTCTCTAGAGACCCCCGATGCTGCTCAGGCTACCCCAGGACTGTGACCCCTACCCCTGGGACAGGGGCAGACTGGCTCAGGGGTGGTTCTGGAGGGGAGGGGGGGAGAAGAGGGTGGAAGGGTAACGAGAGATCCCTCTAGTGTGAAAAGGCAAAAGCCAGGGCCCCTCCAGAGCTGGGGCCACCCCTGTGGTTTAGGATGCGGTGCACAGCCTTGTACCCTAGGGCACAGAGGGGCCCAGTGACTCAGGCCTGTGCGCTCAGGACAATGAGAGGGCTGCCCCTCAGTGCCCAGGGGGCAGGCGATTCTGGTATTCACTCCCCCAGAGGGGTAAGTCCCATCCCTAACACTACAGTGCCCTTGACAGCTGGTGGGCATCCCCCTTCTTGTTTGATCCTTCAGTCACTTTGGCCTTTTGGCTAAGATCAAGCGCTGTCTGATCCTCCCACCAGGCTCCCTTTACAGGTAAAGAAGCCAAGGCCTGCATCCAAAGCCACAGAGCAAATCCAGGCCAGGGCAGGGCTTCAACGGAAGCCTTTGGCCTCTGAACCCTACGCTCTTTCCTTTACTTTACTACAAAAGGAAACTACATAGACTGTCAGGGCCAAATGTCCACGGAAGGAAAGCATGAGTTGATGAATGAATGCAAAGTAATTTAAAAGGACATCGACACATTTTCCAACAGATCCAGCCATGTGCGCTCAGAGAAGCTGGGACAGGCCTGACCTTGAAGGCCAATGTCAAGGAGGGTGAGCAGTGGGTGGTCTGTGGGGTGACACAGACGGGTAGCCTACGAGTGTTTGTGGGAGTAAGTGTGGCCAAGAATGGCAGAGAAAGGAGAAAAAGAGCAACATTATGGGGTCAAGTAAGAGACGGAGAGGCGGATGGACAAGTGTGTGTGTGCAGGGGGTCAGGCTCCCACTTTCAGAAATACCACCGCGAAGAAGGGATTCTGCCTTCCCTAGCCAGGGCCAGGGGCCTATGGAGGCAGGAGGCCCCACTTTCTCCAGTGCCCTCAGGCAGGGGGTGGTGGTCTAGGACAGGCCGGGGCATACCTGGCCGTCCACAATGCCCGCCTCCTCCAGGGTGATCTCTGGCTGGGTCAGCAGCTCCCGGCCCTCATGGCTGCCCATCTTCCAGAGGCGGGACTCCCGTTGTACTGCCAGAAGCTTCTTTAACTCCGACTCCACAAAACCTGAGAGTCAGAGGGATGGGCATGGGGCAGGCAGGAGAGGGGGGAGCAACTTGCTGGGGATGGAAGGGAGACGAGGGGGCTCCGGCTCTCCGGGCCTCATCCCAGCCCTGGGCAGTCCCTGGTCACCCCCAGCCCCGGCCCCTACATTGCCATTACCTGGAGCCAGCCACAAACCACCTCCCCACCTCCCTGAATTCCCCAGGAAACTCACTGGCCAGTGGGCTCCCTCCTGCATGCTTGAGTGTGAGTTTCCTCACCTCCTGGGGAGAGCATGCAAGAGGCAGACATCGCCCCCCACCTTCCACCAGCCACGGACTCAAGAGCAAGGATCTGGGACTACCCCAGCTGCCAAGGTTCAAGTCACAGCTGTGCCACGTACTAGCTGTGTGACCCTGGACAAGTTACTTAACCTCTCTGTGCCTCTGCTTCCTCACTCTGAGGTAGAGATTATAATAGAGGACCTACCTCAGAGTTGTGATATGGCATTTCATGAAAAATGCTCAGAAGAGGGTCTGGCCCATAGTTATGGCTACGCAAATGTCAACAGGGATCACGCTTGTGTGATCACGTTAGGCTATTACCGTCCTTGCTCACCATGTCTGGGCAGCACAGGGGCACCGAACAAGTTAGAAGTCTGGGCTGGGAAAGGGTGATGTTCCTGGAGCGCAAGCCCTAGTCACCATCCCCACCTCATGGCCTCCCAAACCTGGAGAAAGGAGGACTAGCTAGACTTCAGCAGCCCAGCCACCCACGGGTCCCCCGCCCCCCCGGTTCAGTGGTCATCTTAGGTCCTCTGGTCCCACCTGGTGGTAAGAACTGGTATCACACCCATGAGCCGTAGCCAAGGGGAGCCCCCTGGTCTGAGGGCAGGTTGTGCCCCGCACTTACCCACTGTATCTGTTGACCTAAAAGTCTTATGCAGCGGTGACTGCAGGGTGACAATGCCTGGGACACAGAGATTGAATGAGCTGTTCTCTTCCTCCATTTCCTGTTCCTTGCCTTTCTCCTCATCAGGCAAGCCTTCCTTGAGAGGAAATTGAGGGCATGCCCCATCGCTGATCAGGTGAGGAGGACAGGGGCCCAAGCCTGCAGCCCCACTCCCACCCCCAGATAAAACAAAAAGCAGGAGGGTACAGCTCCCCAAAGGTTAAGAGGCCCAGCCAAATGTGGGGAGGAGCCCCACCGAGGCTTCACCCCCGCCTACAGGCCAGCCTGGTTCCACAGACCTTGGCCGTGGCTGATTTCTGAAGCTGCTTGTACAAGGTGAGGAGGCGGTTCCAAGGAGTTGCCCCCACCTTTGCAGAGGCCAGCCTGAGGTCTCCTGTGAAAGGGCAGTGTCAGTGACGGACTGATAGGAACAAGGGACAGCCCAGGCCTAACTAGGCCCAGCAGGGCAGGGGCACTGGGTGGGCTGAAGTGAGGGCGAGGTCCCTCGTTTCCTCAGCAAACAACTCCTATGTGCAAGGCACAGTACTAGGCACTCTACAAAGAGCATCTCATTGACTCCTTGCAACTGCACCTCTGAGGTGGATACGGTTCCATTCTCATTCTATCGATAAGGAAACAGAGATGCAGAACGGTTGAGCAACTTGCCCCCCTCCCACAGCTTGGCATAGTGCAATGGAATGGATTCAAGTCCAGCCAGCCTGCCCCCAGCATTCCCTCAAACCATTCTGTGACCTTCCAGGCCCCACACCCCTGAGGAGTCTGAGGAAGAGGGCCTATTTCTGGCACTGCCCCAATGCCTGTGGCCACCACACTCACCGTCAAGCAGACACTCCTTCTCCTCCTCCCTGGTGAAGGTCTTGGGGCTGACCTCCAGTGGCCCCATGGCCCTCTGTGGGCATCTTTGTTCCACCTCCAAGGCTTGGGCAAAGTGGCCCCTGACCCCAAAACATAGTCAGATGGGGGTGGCGGGTGGAGCCAGAGATGTGGCAAAGGCTCCCTAAACACCCCCAAACCCCTCAAGGCCCGCCCACAGGCCCTGTTCAGACCCCTCCACCCTCCTGCCTCCAACAGTTCCCCGCTTGGTCCTCTGGGGTCTTCATCAGACAGGGGTGGGTGGGCCCCCGTCCTCACAAGGAGTGGCGCCAGGTCCAAATGGGAGTGGGAGCCAGGAGGGAGAGAGTGGGGGGGGAAGGCAGGGTGGAGAGGGGACCGGGAAGGAGCTGGGAAGCAACGCAGTCTGGCTTGCTCTGGCGCACTGCCCCCCTCCCCCCCCCAGTGCCCAGCCTGACCCTCTCTCATCTCTGGTGCCTCCACCCACAATTCCTGATTTGTGGGAAGACCCACCCCATCTCTGGTTCCCTCCCCCCAAACCCACCCCCACCCCCCCAGCCCACCGCCGGCCCACAGGCTCCTTCCCACCCTTGATGCATCTGTCCCTTCCCGACCCAGGTAGGGAGGGGCCTTATTCCCATCCTCTACCCATCTGAAGACCCACATTCCTGGGCCCTCCTCAATTTGGGTCCTCCCATCTCAGCCCCATATCCTTGCCCCAGTACCCCCATCCCAGGCCCCTGCCCGCCACCCACACAGCCCAGTCCCTTACCTGTCTGAGGTCCTCATATCCCCGGAGGCCTCCCCTATTGCCTCCTCCTTCTCAGACGGGCTGCCCAGCACCTCCTGGCTCCCCCTGGACAGGGTGGGCTTCACCTCTCCACCCTGGGCCCCCACCCTCAGGACCTCCATGGGCGTGGGGGTCTGGGCCCCCACGTCCCCCATCCCTAGCCCTGAGGGATCGTGCCGTGGCAAGGCCACAGACAGCGTGTAGGGCAGTGTGGTGGGCAGCTTTGGCTCCTTCCTCCCCACGCCTCCCTGGCGGTTCATCATCAGCGGGGTGGCATCTTGCTGTTGTGAGGGGCATGCCCGCCTCCGCAACCGGGCCTTGTCAGAGCTCTTTGGGCTGCCCCTGCTCCCCACCAGGCTACGGAAAAAGCGGAACATGGAGGAGCGGCCCAAAATTCGGGACTGAGGGGTTGGAGCTGGGGCCTCCATCCTGAGAGAGACCCTGACTCAGAGGGAGGGGCCGCAGCAGCCACCCCCACCAACTGCTTAAGAACAGGAGGAGTTGGAAACTTCCAAGAGTTCTAGAAGGCAAAGGTCAGGTGGGGGGGTGATGGGTGATGGGGAGGCTGGGAGGAAGACATGGTACGGGGGTTAGCTGGGGGCAGAGAGGGCAGCGGGTCGATGAGGCAGGGGAAGGAGGTATGGGAGGCAGATTTGGGGTAGCTGATGAGGCTTCAGGAGGCATGGGGGCTGGGGGGAGGCAGAGGAAGCTGGGGGGTCCCTGGACTGAGAACGGGGCAGGGGCTCTTGGGGCCTCTGCACACACCTCTCTCCAGCTGGCTTGTCCTTCCCTGGTCTCGGGGGCTGCCTCTGCCCTGGAGAACCATTCCCCACAGCCAGATAGTATCTGTCTTCCCTCTTTTCTCACCTCTCGGCATCCACTGGCACGTGCCCAGGTGGTACCCAGACACCCCCGTTTTCATCTCTGTTTACCTGCCTATCACCTTCAGGATTTTGAATCTCCACCAAGGTGCCTTGCACACGTCTTAATTGCATGTTGAATCTCAATGTAGTATTATTATTCCCCATGGCATCTAGAGACTTGATTATGTACCCAGCTTAGTGACCTTGGGAGTTTCTTAAATCCACTGAGCCTCAGTTTGTTCATCTGTAAAACAGGTGTAGTGGACAGCACCCACTTCCAAGGGTTACTGAAAAAATTCAGCGGGACAACGGCCCATCGCCCAAGTGCAAGCCACACTGTAGTGCTTAAGACACTCTGCCATCCTGGCTTTTTTATTGGTTTTGACCGATGAAAGGGAGTGAAGATCAAACACCAGGAGTGGGAGAAGGGGAGCCATGCCACCTGACTGGGCCCTGACTGGGGCCAAGTGTGGGGGGTGGAGCATCTCCTCTGCGGATGAGCCCAGACCGACCCCCAGGCTGTAGGCCCTGCATCCGCATCCGGCGGCTACACAGCAACTTCCTCTAGAGGGAGCTGATTGGAGCCGGGAGCTGCCGGCACCTCTAGGATCACCACAGCCTCGCGGGTCCCTCGGGCCCCGTGGGGACAAGCGGCGGCTGCATCCAGACGCCAGGACTGAGCTGACGCCTGTTCCTGGAAGCCGCGCCTGGGCGCCCGACCCCCCCGGGAGCAGCCGCTGGCCTCTCAGGGTCTCTGGCCTCGGCCCTGTGAGCCATCCGGGCCTGGGCTAGGGTCCCGGCAGGTAAGGTGGGAGGGTCTGGCCCATCCTCCCAGCTTTCGGCGGCCCCAGGCCCAAGGGGATACAGGGAGCCCGCAGGCAGCCGGGTGGGGAGGGGGAGGTCTGGAGGCTTGCCTGGGCAGCTTCGCCAACCCCTGCTGGGGGCTTGATCCAGCCAGGGCTCCCTCTGGTTGTCCCTCACACAGCTCCCCCAGCACCCCCTCCCCGGCCCCGCCCTGGCCCTGGGCGCCAAAGAATTGGGTGCCAAAGAACCAGGTCCTTTAGCAGTCTGGGCGGTTGGGAGTGGAGGTCAGAGCCAAGGTCAAGGGCAGGGAGAGAACTTTCATCGTGCTTCCTGTGCCCCAGGAGCCTTGGGCTGGGTCTGCTGCCCAACCAGGCATCTCCCCCTTGGGGAACATCCTAGGCCCAGCAAGTGGAGAGCAGGGGACTCCCCTTACCAGGAAGTCTGGCCACTTGGATGAGGGCAGGGGTAGGCCCAGGGCGGCATAGGCCTCTGGCCCCAGGGGCCGCTCTGACGCCCCACCCAATCCCCAGCAGCGAGCCCCTGGGGTAGCTGGTGGTGCAGTCCTGCCCTGCTGTCCTGGGGGTGCCGGTTTTGCTCGGGGGACCAGGGGAGAGGGAAGGGCATCTTGTTCCGGAAGGAGCAGGAGGGATGGGGGTGTGCCAAGCAAAGGTCTCTTTCATGCTGGCACCCGGGGCTGGAGGAGGGGAGGGTCTGCCTTCCCCCTTATCCCTGCCCCCAGGAGGTGGAGGGGTGGAGAGCTCTCCCTCATCCCTTCCTGAGAGCTCTCGCCCTGGGACACTTTCGAAAATGGCCCCGGGCCAGAGAGGCAGGAGGAAGGCAAGGAGGGTACTCAGGTCCTCCCTGAGAGAAGGCGGTGGCTGTGCTTGGCCCGGGGTAGGACTGCACCTTCCACAGGGGTAGGAGGGGGGGCACTTCCCCAAAAGGCTGATGGAGGCAGCTTTCGGGGGGGTGGGTATGAAGAGGTGCAAATTGAAAGTGAAACAGCTCACGTCCAGGAAATACTCCCTGTGACGAGGGTTCACAGAGCAGATGAGGGCTGTGGCCAGGACTGAGCAAAGAGGAAAACGGGCTGGGGACAGGAGAGCAGGTATGTGGCGGGGTACATGTGTGAGGTGGGGGGGCAGGGGAGCTGTGGAGACGGCTTCCGCAGCTCACTGCAAGGCAGGAATGGGTAGAGCACAGGTGGCATGTCAACAGGTAACCACAAACTGAGAATAAATCTTAAATGAGTATTGAGGGTATGAACTGATGAAAATTCAGGTCACCAACCTGACTCCTGATTAGCTATGTGGCCCTCAGGCCCTAACTTCTTGGTACCTCACTTTCCCCCCCTGTAAAATGGGTATGATGATGCTTGCCTTGCTGGGGTAATGTAACATTTCCAGTGTCTGACACCCCTGGAAGAGTGATCGAAGTAAGTAAGGCATAGATGCTCAGGAAACGTTTGTGGCTAACAAGCCTGAGTTGGAAAACAGGCATGCTCTGACCAGCCAAGGGGAAGTGGGACCTTCGAGCACAGCTTTCATGGGTCATTGGCTAGAAGGTGGCAATCCTGTGGTAAGCGCGTGCTAGGTAGAGTGCAGGAGGCCCCAGGAGCAGCGGAAAGAACCCCCAGCATCTAAAACTCGCCTCATTTGCCCAGGAGTGAGGTGAATTATGACTTGCGATCCCCCAGGCCACTGCGGCCGTCACCCCTCCCCAGGGCGCTGGCTGCAGGCTCCAGGTCCCTAGGTATGAATCCCGACTGCCCTGCCTTTCTCGCCCTCTCTTGAAGGATTGCTAGTGAAATGCTCAGGAAGTTCTGATTCTGCCAGTAGGCGCCACAGGGACCCAAGGTGGTGAAATGAGAGGCGGCTGGAGCCAGGACCACGGGGTCTTTGGGGAGTGGGGGCCCCCCTCCTCTCTCTGTGGCTGTGGGACACTCTCCTCAACAGCCCCTGCCCGTCCCCATCTCTGCTCTTTCTCACCTACCCCCCCACAGGCTAACCCTGTCCTCCACTGGGACCTGAGAAATGGCATCTGGGCAAGGCCCAGGTCCTCCCAGGCAGGGGTGTGGAGAGCCGGCCCTGTCTTCTACTTCCGGTAAGGGTCTCTCTGCCCCTCGCCCATCCCGTAACCACCAGGGCTGTCTGAGAGGGTGGTGAGAGCAGAAGTGGACAGGGCCAGGCAGGACTTACAGGCAGGCTCTCCGGTCCCCGTTCACTTACCTTGGATAAAGGAGAAAAGCATCTCCCCACCTGGTGCAGGGGGGTGCAGGTGCCTCAGAAGCTAGAGGGCAGTCCAGGTTAAGCCCTGGGAGTAGGGAGGAGGTTGGGCCTGGGGGGGCAGGAGCAGAGGCTGGGAGAGGCCCGGGAGGGAGTGTGAGGTGGGCACAGCGCCATCCCAAGGAAGAAGAGCAGAAAGGGGTGAGGAGAGGCCAGAAGAGTGGGGTGTGGCTATCCTATCCCTACAGTAGGAGAAAGAAGGAAGTTCCTAGGCTTATCACCCCGTCAGGCCTGCTAACTGGCGAAAGCGATTGTTACGACTTTGGGGAGGAAGTAAGATGGCTGCCCTTCTTTCCTCTTCCCAGGGGACCTGCAGGGACGCCTGCAGTCCCCAGCCCACTACAGACTGCTCCCTGGGCTTTGGGTTCAGTGCCCCGTCTGTCACTATGTCCCTTTGTGACTTTTCTGGGCCCAAAGCTACAATTTCAAATTGTTTCCCCCATTCCCTGAGCCATAAGGGCTGGGGACCTGTACACGCTAAAACTCACACTAAAAATCCCACATGCCTGGCTTATGTCCTGGTTCTTTCTAACCGTGTGACCTCGTACAAGTTATGTAAACACCCCGTGCCTTGGCTTCCCCATCTGTAAACTGGGGTTCACCTACTCCACAAGGCTGTTGTGAGGATGATCCTGTACCCAGTAAGCACTAACTGTTAACCAAGGGCTAGAGTTAGGGACGCTTCTGTCCGGGGGGGCAGGACGTCTGAGGCCTTGAGGAAGAGTGACCCATCCACAAAGCATGGGGCTGCCCGGTCCAGCCCTTCCTCCCTGACTCCTGGCTTTGATCCTCAGAGGAGCAGGTAGCCCGGGACACCGAGGAGGTTTTTCGCAGCTATGTTTTTTACCGCCATCGGCAGGAGCAGGAGGCTGAGGGGGCGGCTGCACCTGCTGACCCAGAAATGGTCTCCTTGTCCCTAGAACCTAGCAGGTGAGCAAGAAGGCCCCTGGGCCCACAGGGCCATCTTCAGGGAAGTGGAGGCTCACATGGAGTCACTGCCCTGCAGGTCCGGGGAACTGGGGACGCCTGGGGGGTGGGGGGGGGTCTTGTCCTTCTCCCATCATTGCCTTTTTCATTTTGGGCTTCCACCCGCATCTGGGACCTTGCACCCTTTATAGCGCATGCCTGTCCCGTGACCCTGGGCTCGGCCCTCATGTCTGAACACTGTCAGGAACCTCCAGGGAGGGGTCCACAAGGCTGGGGGCATCTTAGGTGGAACCCCTTCTCCGTGAGCCCAGGTCCCAGCCCTGCCTGCCCTGGGCCTGCTCACCTACCCGGCTCCCGTTCCTCCAGCACCATGGGGCAGGTGGGTCGCCAGCTCGCCATCATCGGGGACGACATCAACCAGCGCTACGACTCCGAGTTCCAGACCATGCTGCAGCACCTACAGCCAACAGTAGAGAACGCCTATGAGTATTTCACCAAGATTGCCTCGAGGTAGTCCTGGCCCCGGCCTCTCTGCTGTGCTCTCGCCCT